TTATTATGAGACACAAAACATCAGAATACTAGTAAAATATTGCTAAAAGTGAGTTTTCCCATGATCACTCTTATCCTGTAAGGATTAAATATAATGTCTTATTTCAAGAAATCTTACCAAGAGAATTTTCACTTGTTCCATTGGCAGATTTTTTTTTTTGCTTATTACAAGCAAAAAATGTCTTACATTAATTTTTTTTGCTTATTTTTGGAGTGGCCTTTTTTCCAGTGCAGCGGTTAAGATATGTAAATCCAGCATGTGGCTCAGTCTGGATCGATAGCAGACAAAAGCACTGTAGGAGGCTGTCTGGACATGAACTCACATGTGCTTCATGCTTCGCCCGTACACCCTCATCATCATGATACTACAACACTTGATCCGAGGAGAGGTATCAGGTCTTTGTATGAGTGAAAATAAGATCTAAAGGGCTTCAGTATCTAAATTCAAAAGTGTTTATAACTGTTCTGAATGTCTACACTGACAGGTCTTCTATCATAACCTCCTCTGGCTGCATCCCGCTGCCTCTCTCTGTCCAAGAGAAGACAGGAACATTAGACACAAGTGTCCAGGTGCTGCTGAACTCAATTATCCTAATATCTTCGCCAACTCCACACAGGGCAATGTTTATGAGGAGTTGCCATGTTTGTGTTTCCTGTTGTAGATAGGCTATTTTTATATAGAGTGAAAGAGTGAGCTACAATATGGAAACCCTCAGACAGACTGTCTAAAGTCCAACTGGAGCGTATAGGTAGCTCTGTCTAGAGAAATGATTCAAACATCCCAGAATTTCAAATAATCTCTTTTGCTTACCTATAATATACATAATAAAACATCAGGCAGCTGATTTCAGATTTAAATGTCTCAATGTTGCTCAAACATAATTTGACATCTATGAACTTTATCATTGTAGGTGAAAATAAAGCAGAAGTCAAACATGGAGGACATCTGAAGATTGTCATCTCTGATATGACCACAATGGCCTTCAGTCATCTGCATAATTTACTATGTAATCAGACATTTTGTCTGATTACTGTGTTTGTGAATGCCATTTATCATTTCATCAGAAACATTGTAATAATAGTTCTTACATCATAATGATACGGCTGTAGGTGAGTTAGTAAAAAAATAAGTGTGGGTGAAAGTTTGTGGGGATGGTTTAAAGAAAAATTAGTGTTTAAGGGTGTGGGGTAGGGGGGCCTGCCTCGACCAGTTGGGTTGAGGGGAGGAAGAGGGGGTGGGGAAGGAGAGAGAGAGAGAAAGAGAGAGCGAGACCATGACAGCATCATGATATACATGATTCATATATGATATACTGTTGATATGATGATATAGTGTAAATACTAATAGTAATACCCATAGGTAATAGTATAATCAAGAATAATAATAACAATAACAATAACAAAAACAACAGTAGTAATAATAATATCAATGAATGTTGTAGTGTCAGATCTGTATCCTGCAGCTCCACAGTCAGAGACACCTGCTGGATGAGAGCGAGCAAGACAGAAACACAACTAGGGGAGAGAGATAATACAAGTCAGTCACTGTGTTTGTGTCAGCCTGTTTAAGCAACTTCTCAGGGGTTTCAGACGCTGTGAGACGATACAACAGGAGCTTTATTCAAAGCAAACTGAGGCCTTAAAAATATTAATATTTAAATGCCATTTTTATCAAATGCTTCACCAAATGTTTCTGTTGATGTCATAAATAGAAAGTGGGCAGAGAGAAGCTCAGACGGGGCTTTGCCAGGACTGTTTGAAGTAAGGAAAGGGGTCAGTGAGTGTTTTATCTGGGGGACAGCACGATTTGATGCTAATAGACCTTTCAAGGGTCTTTTTTTAAAACACAGATAAGAGGATTGGCAAGTGGCTGGAGAGGAGCAGTCAAAACAAGCCAGGAAACCTCATCAGACACCAGACTGCTGTCTTTCCAGACGTCTAAAATATATTTCTTCATGACTTTTGCTCAGTCTTGTGTCTGCACTTGATGTCTTTTTGTGTATAACAATGTCCAAGTGTTGTGGAGGATCTGAGTGAGCATGCTGTTTGTTTCTGGACATCATCTATAATATGCTTCTCCATTAAAGGAAGAACCCCATCAGCTTCAGAAGACTAATCATTGAAGAATGCTCTATCAGTCAGCACTATCAGCAGCTCCTCTGGTAGAGGAGGGGGGATGTCTCTCCGTTTTAAAATGGATCCTAAAGACAAGAGAGAAGTGAATGTGCCAAGTGACTCATGTCAAGTGGACATCCTTATCTAGGAAAGATGGGATGGCTCTCTCTTGCAGTGGCTCCATTGCTCTCAAGGCAGGGCTGGCAAACACACAGGCAGAGAGGGGGTCTGCTGCAGGGTTCAGTCAGGGCAGGAAGGTGCTCTGATTTCAGAAGATCCTTCTGATTGAGAAATGAGAAGCAGTCCCTAGAACCGAGAAAACCAGAACAGAGAGTGGTGTAGATTAGGTGGGACAGTGGTCAGGTCTCCTGCAGGTGGGTGGGAGCTCAGGAGGAGAAGTGGTGGATTGGTCCAGAGCATACTGCTCTACTCCAGGCAGCTTGTCCCTTCCTCAAGGCAGGCAGCAGCCACAGGCCACCATGACGGAGTGGACCCTGCTCAAACGTCTCCTGGATGCTGTCCATCAGCACTCCACTATGATTGGTCGCCTGTGGCTCACAGTCATGGTCATCTTCCGGCTGCTCATTGTGGCTGTGGCAACCGAGGACGTGTACACCGATGAGCAGGAGATGTTCGTGTGCAACACCCTGCAGCCGGGATGCTCCACTGTCTGCTACGACGCTTTTGCACCCATCTCACAACCTCGCTTCTGGGTGTTCCACATTATCAGCGTCTCCACGCCGTCGCTCTGCTTCATCATATACACATGGCACAATCTGTCCAAGCTACCCCACAACACCACCCAGAGGCTGGGGCAAGGACCTGGGGATATGGCAGGGCAGGGAGGCCCAGATGTGGGGCGTGACAGTGGACGGGAGGCATATGATCAGAGCTACGACTCAGACAGCTGCTCCATCCGCTCCCACAAGCATTTAGGTCACAGCCTGGAAGATGTGCTGGAGGGCATCACCACCCAGAGCCTCCAGAGGGGAGACCCCAAGAACATCGTGTCCTTGAGCCAGGCCCGAGTTTGCCCCTTCAGGGAGGGGAGTGCAGAGGGTCATGTGGTCTCTGGAGGGGTTCTGTCTAAATGTTACATTTTCCATGTGTGTTTACGTGCTGTTCTAGAGGTGGGCTTCGTCCTGGCCCAGTGGAAGCTGTTTGGCTTCCAGGTGCCTGTTCATTTCCTGTGCACCTCGGCCCCCTGCACCCAGCCGGTGGACTGCTACGTGTCCAGGCCCACGGAGAAGACCATCTTCTTGTGCTTCATGTTTTGTGTTGGGGTTTTCTGTATCTTTCTGAACCTGCTAGAGCTCAACCACTTGGGCTGGAAGAAGGTCCGCCTGGCTGTGAGGTTGAAGGAGAGGTCGTCCTGGGGAGGTTGCCCGGGTATGAGGGGGGGTTATGAAACGTTCCCTCCGGACAGCCCCTCTCTCACATTCTCGTTAGGCTTCAGGGACGTGACCAGCACCACCTCTCTGCCCACTTTGGACCTGGTGGTGGGTCACCAGCCGGACTGGACTTGTGCTGTGAACTGTGGCAGCATGAGGGAGCCTGAGGAGGTGACAGGGACCAGACTAGAGCAACCAAAGAGACAGAACTCCCATAAAGGAGAGAGGCATCCACTGAACAGTAAGAAGGAGATCAGAGGCTCCAAGCAGAGGAGTGCTCAGGTCTGGATATAGTCTCTGACCCAGGGGAAGCATGTTGTTGCCATTGTTTGTCTTGACCACATTACATGACACATTACAAAGTCTTTTGAAAACAGTTCCATTAATCAGGATAATCCACAGACTGTGCTGTCAACAGTTCTGCTGCGCTCAGAAGAATGTGTGTTAACCAGGACTGGAAACATATGCTACTGGTGATTTTTTTTTTTTTACATGAACCACAAAGTAAATGAATGCTTTCACTTCCAGTTTACTGGTGTGGGGACAGAAATTTCCAAACCAAAAACTATGTGCATAGTTAGACACAAAAACAGATGAGGGAGGGAATGCTCTCACTTATCACATTGTTTAGGTCTGCTCAGCTAAACCTGATGCAGTCCAGTCCAACTGCCCTCATAGTGAATCTAAAGTAGTAAATCCCTCATGACGTTCATCATGTTCAGGGTTTATTCAGACTCTATAAGAGAAGTGTGCTGATTAAAATGTATGGTCATTATGGTGTTGTTGGATTGTATAGTATTATACCAACACACTAATTTCTAATATTTTGTCCAAATCATTTGTATATGTGAGGGTAGACTGGGCTGTCCACTGGTTAAGATGGTTTCCATTTAACTGCACAGTCCCTGGTTTGTTTCAGACAAGGGATGTTTGTTGAATTTCCCGTCTGTATCTCTACTGACACCATTAGATGAAGCCAGAAAATAATCAGCAAACAAATATTAGAAATACCTCTCAGCTGTTCAGCACAAACACAAACTACAGACTCTAAAATGACCATGAAGTTGATTCAACAGCTCTCAACAAAAACTGAACCTTAATGAAGTCAGAACTCGTGCTTTAGTTAGATTTACCTAATAAATGACAACTGAGTGTATGTTTATAATTTCATAAAAATGATTTCATGTGTTTACAGTACTGTGTAAGTTTATATATTTATTTATAACAGGATCAAAGTTTATGTGGCTGTGCTGTACTGTGTTAAGTCAACAGTTGCCTGGGTAGTAGAGTGCAGAGAATGATCACTGTTCACAGGGTTGATCATTTAAGGCAAAGTTTTTTCTTTGCCTTAAATGCAGCAGCTCAAACAATGAAACACAGCCACATAACATGTGAGTGGACAGGTGTGTCCGCATTATTTTGGCCATACAGTGTAATTTGCATCAAGATGCAAACAAACAGTACACATGTGAGGGTTGTCTCAATATTTGCTTGTCATTTATTGACGCAATATATTTATTAATATATTCATTTACAACATCTATAAAACACCTTTTGCATAAATTATGCTACTGAAAAAATAAAACACAGAACTGCGCAGCTGTTTTCCTGCCTAGAAGTGGCTGTAAAATGAATACTGAGGAGAGATTGCAAAGGCAAACAGAGGTACAGTGTTGAGAGATCTTGTTTTAGTGTATCAAGGAGTCATTCATGCAGTGGGGCAACTGCAAAAAAATAACAGTTTAAAACGGGCTAATCTTGCATTCAGTCTTAAATCTCTGAACAAAGTCAAACACTTTGGAACAATTTCTTAAAGCGAGTTGCAGTCTGAGAAGAAACTGTTGTATCAGGAGACTGAGGCAGGATTTAACCATGTGATGGTCCTTCCTTCCTGTGACGTACTGTGACGGTGTTGCACACAGCACCTTGTGCTAAGACCTCCCCAGTATCCAAAATCCATAAAAACAATCTTTAGAAATGAAAAAAATATCATGCAACATGTTGAACATCGAAGCAATCGCAAGCTAACAGTAAGTATCCAATACATTTGATTTATTTTCTCTCTATTGAATATAAAGTTGGTCCACATACGATAGAAGATGAAACTATATAATGTAGAAGATGAATGTAGTCCATTGAGTACACACTGGGACCAGGACTCAAACCTGAGTGTCGGTCTGGATGTCTTTTCACATTGTAAGTAAAACTTTGTTGATAAAACAAAACCACTCGTCTGGAGGGAAAAAAACAGCCGTAAATTCTCAAATAAAAGTCGCTATTCAAATAATGGTTGAATAAATGAAGTAATGTATATGTCGACAAATAAATAAGTAGAACAACAGAGTGACATGACACTCAGAAACACTGCTTTCATTCACTAATTCACCCCTGCCACTTCTGCTGTACTATTTCTGAGCACTGTTAAGTTACTGTCTTTGATACTTAACACTTCCTTAAAACCTTTCAAACTAAAAGCCTACCAGGAACAGCAGGGGCTATGGAGTTACAAGGTTTTTTCCTCAATGTTACTTAACACTGAAGCACAGTGAAATGCTCCTATAGGTTTATGTAATGATCACCAGTTTTAATGAAATCAACTTTGTTTCTGAAAAACCATGTCATTTTGGCATGGTAAAGGACCTAAAAAATACTACAATACCCATGAGCCTATTTAGAGGAATAATAATAATAATCATAATAATAAACTTCATTTATATAGAGCAATATATAGAGCCAGAATCAAAAAATAAACTGATTTAAGCTGCAGACTGTGAAATTGTGAACAGCATAATTTTATCTTTTTTTAAGCTCTGTGATTGGATTGCAGTTCTTGCTGAAATGCACCATGGGAGTTGCAATTTACCTCACATTTTTGTGTACAAAGGTTTTATACCTTTTCTAATGCAGTTGTCAATCTTAGCCCTGGAAGAAAATGAATTGGACTTTTTTTCACAACTCTTCGTTCCCTTTGAGCACCTGGAAATCTTTTAATGCAAAAACTGGAACAAATAAGCAGTATTTCTGTCAGAGAAGAAGTGAGAGCAGCAGACACTTTGTTGTTAAACTGAGTCAGTGCTGTGAGTCATGTGGATCATGCAGCTTTGAGTTTGCATTAACTGCAAATGAAAACAGGAGCAGATAAAAAAAATAGGAAGGCTTCTTATTGAAATATTACTGAAATTAGAAACAAAGCTTTAAATTAAAACCTGGGACAGGCCTTTCACCTCTTTTTGAGAATTTACAGTAACCCTCCTCATGTCTGGTGGTGTTTACCTGACGGCTATCATCAAGCTGCTAAGGTGTTTTATCAACTCATGATGGGACTTCCTAAATAAATGGGTTTATCACTGCCAGCCTTTCCTTATCTACAGCATATCACTAATAAGACAGCTGGAATTTGCTTCACAAGGTGACAGGATCTTCTACTTCCACAGACTCTGTGTACGTACATATAACTGAGGCAGTGGAGTCCTTAGCTTCTATAAGTCTAAGTATCTACCACTCTGACTTCATACATCTGACACAGTAGTGATTCTAACCCACTGTGAGTAACACAAAGTGCAGCAAAACATTAACAACAAAAAGGTGCATGTCCATAAACATATGTGGAAGGTAGATTCTAAAGCTTCAGTGCAATACAGACAACATTTGAAAAAGCACTTTCATATGGTTTCAGTGTGACAAGGCATTGATCCATTTCTGACACAGTCCTCACATCATGTCACAATAAGTCAGCGTGTAAACAGAGAGAAGGACATTCAGAGAGATGGAGTTCACCTCGGTTCCTCACAGAACAAACATGTTCTGGTGACTCTTTAAGAGCACAGCAGGCAAACAGGCAAAGTCCGTTTAGGGAGAAGAGACAAGAACAGAGTTACAACACCAGACAGGCCGACCTGAAAGAGCACTAATACACATCACATACTGTCCGACACTGGAGACATTACCTCTGTGGGTTAGCTGTGATCACTCTCCAACAGCTATGGCTTGTTATGTTCATAAAATCATAAAAACATGTCTAAAATAAATAGCAAGTGAGGAAGAGCCAACGAGCTAAAGCCAACGTCGATCAAATGTTTCATTTCACATTCTAAATTTAAGTTTGGTCTTTTTCATCATCTGACGCTATAGTCACCAAGCTCACTGCTGAGGTCAGGAACGTGGCAACGAAGAAACAGCTGTTCAGAGAGGCTGTGAACGAACCGACAGTTTCACCTGATTATTTGGAGATAAAACTGAAAGTGTGCACAGGAAAACAGTGCGAGTGGCTACGGCAAGTAAGGTAGGTCAAAGTTAAATTAAGCCTGTCAATTGTGATGGATGTTTACAACTGATAGTTTGTGTAATAATTTTATCTTTTGGCTTAATTTTCTTTTCCATTTGGTGAGCATGGGAGTTCATTTAAAGCAGCATTGATCAATTTTTATTAGGCCACTTGGGGAAAAAAACTCCACAACAAGCTGAGAAATACAGACATATTAAAGCGTTCTGGTTTTGGTGTCCACCAACTCCTGAGAAAAACATCTGGCTCTTTAGCTGCTAAATGCTTCACTATGTTCCCCAGCCACAGAAAGCAGCTGCTGCTGGAAACAAGTGGCTGATGCTGTAAAACCAAAAGCATGAGTTGAAAGATGCTACAACACTTAACAGAGCTGGAAGGGAATGCAGATGATAATTAGTGATAATTCTCTGTGGCTTCATCATTACACTAGACATTTGATTAATGCAGCTTTAAACCCGTCTCATCATCTGACTTCTTGTTTACTTTTAAGTAAAGCCACCATGTTCCTGAGCTCAGCAGTGAATTTAGTGAGACCAAGTTAGTTAGCAACATGATGGCTAATCTACAAAAACAAGGATGAAGTTGTAATACAGTGGAATTATCATTGAACTCTTGTAAGACTTCATAAACATAGAGGAATGAGGCTTGTGTTTGGATGATAACACAGAACAGAAAAACAAACGCAGTGTAATCTGGGACTCTGATGTCATATGTGGGATTTTCTTGGGCAGTCGATGAGAAAATGTGCTCATTTTCTTTAACATACAGACTTCAACTCACCAAGTGTGGTCTTCTTTAAAGGGTCTGCTTCACTCAGATCAAAACAAATCACTTGGTCACAATCTTGGTCACTTCTTGAATTTTTGAGTTTCTTTTAATTGTCTTTGTTCAACTCTGTGAGCACCAAAAATGAAATTAATTTGGGTGAAGCAGCCCTTTAGACATCAGCTTGATCATTTAAACCCTGATTCCTCAAACTAAGTTTGTACTTATGTTGGTGAGCTAATCTGTGCTCAGCCTGATATGTGATAGCTCAATATGAGAGGATTCATGATGAAAACACACACCCTCTAACATTTTCTGGATAACTATAGAACAATTTAATGGGATTAAAAATAACCTGAAATGTATATAATGTTCCTTATGTGACTATAATGCAAGTAAGAGCACATCACTTGATTGTAGTGGTCTAACAATGCAGTCATAATGTTCAGTGGTGCACTTCAAGCAAAAGTAAGGAGCCTCAGTTCATGATGAAGAAGGAGCAGCCTCATCTGAGGATGGTTCACGGTGGTCAGACTCAGAGGACACTGACGGTCTGACCAGGCAGTCGCCCTTAATGGCTTGGATTTCAGTTGGTTTCAGGTTCATAAATATCAACAGAAACAATCAGTGACATCTGATCTTATGTCGGCGTGGCACAAACCTACTACCTCTCTGGCTCGCTTTGAAAATCAGGAGACAGAAGATTTTTTCAGCTTCAAGCTGATCCGGCCCCGTGAACTTTCAGACCCAAGTGGGGCTGAGGACAGAGGCTGAGTGTGATGAGGCAGGATGGAGTATATGGAGGACTCGAGGTGCTGGTCTTCACTGAGGCAGGGGGACGATGACCTCTACATAGTTGATGGGGAAGAAGCCAGATTCACCGTTGATCATGCCCTCATACCAGTTCTCGTCTATCTGGTTGGTGAGGATGATGATGTCGCCCTCTTTAAAGCCCAGCTCGCCCTGGTTCTCGGGCTCAAAGTCATAGAGGGAGCGACAGCATGGCTGGTCCAACAGCTCCAACTCTGCATCAAACACAGGAGGAGATTATGAAATCATTTATCAGACATGGTGTTTTGCTCATGTTGTATGTTAATGATGTGTATGATTAGTTTCATCAGAGATATCGCTAAATTATTTTTTTTAAGTAATTAGAATCAATCAAATGTCTGAAAACAGCCTAGTATGATGTTGTTCAATTACTTTGACAAAAAGAAGCAAACTCCACCTGATGATGACCATGAGCTGTGGTTAAAAGTCCAGAAAAACCTGGTAAGAGGACCTGGATGGAGTTAGCTCAGTTGTCCGTACTCAGTACAAATACTGTCATCATCATGACAACTGTGCAAAATTCATCCACTGATGAGGACCCTGAGATTTAGCTGAAAGCTCTGGGAAATTACAGTAAGTTTACCGCGTTTCACTTGAGGTAAACTTACTGTAATTGTGCGCGCGCGCACACACACACACACACACACACACACACACACACGTCAATGCTGAGTCAGAACTATTACTCACGGTGAAGATTGCCATTGGTAGTGGGGCTCTCAGGCCATGACAGTGGGACAGAGGTAATATGATCAGCTGGATGAGATGTAAAGACACATGGAGATGGAGTTGAGCACATGACAACAAAACAAGTAAAAAACCAGTACAGGATGAAGAAAAAGATCCCTGATGCTTTGTTATGATCGACAGTGTTCCCCTCCACCCTACACATTCACCAGCTGCGTCTGACTGTTACCAGCAGAGGGTGGAAATGTTTCTTAAAGAGGAATGGGACATCACCTATATCACGTTACCTTGACGATGCCAAAACATTTGCATTCAAATGTGGGTTTGGGACTTTTGATTGTACATTTTTACTCCCTCCCTTCGCTCCCTGTTTTGGATCAGATCTGATCCTATTTGGATATTTGGAATTCATCATCATGGCATCATAGGACAAATAACTCCACAGTTTGTCTGTGAATGTTCTCATTCGTCCAGGTCATAGTTATCTCTCTCTCAAATTGAATCGAAGGCAACTGGACTTGTATTTGTCTGTGGAAGACGTTAGGTTTCTGACCCTAACGACGGTCGTCCACATGAGACCACAACAATGGTCAGGTGAAACCAGTACTTTCACAGGTACTTTGGTGGACCCACCCACAAGAGGTTAAATACCTGGGTCCTACTCCACTTTCTTGGTCAGACTAGTGCAGACTAGAGAGACCAATACATGATGAACTGATGAAGCCGCTTGGATAAGAGGCGAAACGTCTTCCACAGACAAATACAAGTCCAGTTGCCTTCGATTCAATTTGAGAGAGAGATAACTCCACAGTTCAGTCTCAGAATCACAGTGAGCTCTGTGTTCATTCTGTCATGTCCTTCTTTCTTCTTTCTTGTAATGCTAACAGTAGGGTTTGTTCCTTTCATGCTTGTTTGTTAATTGTTCTTCTTTTATCTCATTATTTCTTGCACTTTATGGCTGTTGTTTGCCGTTTTATATGCTTCTGGGCGTCCACTGACAACCATGGCAACACTGTGTTAAATGTCACAACGCTATGAACTTTGGGTAATTCCCTCAGGCAAAGTCTGCAGAAATGCAGACTTACGGAAAGTGTGCATAAAGGGATCAAAATGTCTGCTGGAGAGCCCTCATGTCCTCAATGGTTTGACAGTGGGCACAGCCCTAAGCCCTCACCAATTTATCTGGAACGCTCGTCCGTGAAAGTGGACACTGGGACTGCACTTTACAGGTCAGTGGTCAAACAGGTATTTTACCACATCATACACCACATGAGAGCACAACGACAGATTTAACCCTCAACACATGTACAGGAGAAGCAGGTGTATGACAGTCCATCAAAAAACTATTGAATGAAAAGAACACTTATAAACCCCAAACAAAATCTGAGGGTGAAGGCAGACTTAGGCTAAATTCACACAAGGGGCCCAAGTGGCCTGAATCTGATTTTTTCCCCCAATGTGACCCAGATCTGATTGTTTAATGATGGTGTGACCAGCACAAATCACATGGAATCTGAGATTTTCAAATCAGATCAGATTTTTTGAAATGCAACCTCAGTCTGAACAGCCATGAGACCCATATCGGAATTCAATGCGACTTGTACGTCAGAACAGGTTTGACAGCGTGCAGTAACACGCCCCTGTAGTCAGCCAATATAACCTGATGCCGACGTGCTTTTTCAGGGAGATGGGCTACCTGACGTGAGAGTCTTTCCACCAGTCTTGAGGAGAGGCGCTGACAGCTGTAGTTGAAAGTAGCCCTCAACATCCTGAAATTTTGGATTAAATCTGTTTCATTAAAGCCATTCACGTCATGATCCCACCTTTTCTATTGAAAAATGTTTAATTACAAAACATATCAATATGGTATTTATAATGAACAAATAAACAGGCATCATAATAATATAAGTGGCAAACATTATACGTCTTTTTTTCCAGTATGATCCTACATTCAATGTGATGACTTCTTCTCCTTGTTTACTTCTTTACTGTGCTGCGTGCAACGTCTTGTTCTTCTGCGCACGTGGATCACTCAGGGTCATGACCAGTTTGCATTGAGTCTAATATTGGCCAAATTTTAAAAGATAATGTGAATAGCTACATAAAAAAATCTGATCTAGAAAGAAATCTGGATTGAGCACTAAGGCTTGCAGTGTGAATAGTCTTAGAGAGCAGGTCAGGTTTTCAAAGGTTAAAGGGACAAACTATATTTCTACTTGCTAGCTCTTGACATGAAGTTCCTCCAGTGCCACAGATGATTATACAACAGTGTTTGATCGAAGATTGTTTGTAAAGAGGTAAAAACTGCAGCTGTCAACACCCTGAGAATTACAAGTAATAATATCATAATACTTGATAATATCATAATCCTCCTTGAACTGTCACCTTACCGTGGTGGAGGAGTTTGAGCGCTCTAATGACCCTAGGAGCTATGTTGTCGGGGGCATTTTGCCCCTGGTAGGGTCTCCCAGGTGAAGGGCCAGACGAAGAACGGTTCAGAAGATCCTAATGATGAGAAATATCAAGAACCCGAGTACCCGGCCCGGAGGGACACCGGGGCCCCGCCCTGGAGCCAGGCCTGGGGTTTGGTGTTCCCCAGGCTCTCTGCCTGTATGTTGGAGTTTACCCCAGTGGACGAAAGGGTTGCGTCCCTGCGCCTCCGGGTCGGGGATCGGGTTCTGACTGTTGTCGGTGCTTATGCGCCGAACAGCAGTTCAGACTACCCACCTTTTTTGGAGTCCTTGGGACGGGTGCTGGAAAGTGCCCCGAAAGGGGACTCCATTGTCCTATTGGGAGGCTTCAACGCTCACATGGGCAATGACAGTGTGACCTGGAAGGGAGTGGTGGGGAGGAACGGCCTGCCCGATCTGAATCCGAGCAGCGTTCAGTTATTGGACTTCTGTGCTAGTCACAGCTTGGCCATAACTAACACCATGTTCAAACATAAGGATGTCCACAGGTGCACTTGGCACCAGGACACCCTAGGTTGCCGGTCTATGATCAACTTTGTAGTCGTATCATCAGACCTGTAGCCGCATGTTTTGGACACTCGGGTAAAGAGAGGAGCAGAGTTGTCAACCGACCACCACCTGGTGATGAGTTGGATCAGATGGCGGGGGAAGACGCCGCGCAGACCTGGCAGGCCCAAATGGGTTCTGAGGGTCTGCTGGGAAAGCCTGGCGGAAGAACCCGTCAAGATGATTTTCAACGCACACCTCCGGCAGAGTTTTGATCGCATCCTGAGGTCGGTGGGGGACATTGAGTCCGAATGGGCCTTGTTCCGCTCTGCTATTGTTGAGGCGGCTGTTGCAAGCTGCGGCCGCAAGGTAGCTGGGGCCGGTCGTGGCGGTAACCCCCGTACCCGCTGGTGGACATGAAGGGGTGGGGGAAGCCGTCAGACTGAAGAAGGAGGCCTAGAGGGCGTGGTTGGCCTGTGGGTCTCTAGAATCAGCTGACTGGTACCGGCGGGCCAAGCGGAGTGCAGCCGCGGCAGTTGCTGAGGCAAAAACTCGGCGTGGGAGGAGTTCGGTGAGACAATGGAGGAAGACTATCGATCGGCTCCAAAAAGGTTCTGGCAAACCGTCGGCGCCTCAGGGGAGGAAGGCGGCAACTCGCTCACACTGTTTACAGTGGGGGCGGGGACTGCTGACGTCAACTGAGGATATAGTCGGACGGTGGAAGGAATACTTTGAGGAGCTCCTCAACTCCCACCAACACGTATTCCGTGGAGTAAACAGAGCCAAGAGACCTGGGGATTGGATGGTCTAAATCTCCGGGGCAGAAGTCGCCGAGGTTAGTGAAACAACTGCGCGGTGGCAGAGCCCGGGGGTTGATGAGATCCGCCCTGGGTATCTCAAGGCTCTGGATGTTGTAGGACTGTCTTGGTTGACACGCCTCTGCACATTGCGTGGACATCGGGGGCAGTGCCTCTGGAGTGGCAAACCGGGATGGTGGTCCCCATCTTTAAGAAGGGTGACCAGAGGGTGTGTTCCAACTACCGGGAATTACACTCCCCAGCCTCCCCGGTAAGGTCTATGCCAGGGGTACTGGAAAGAGGGTCCGGTCGATAGTTGAACCTCAGATCGAGGAGGAGCAATGTGGTTTTTCGTCCTGGGCGTGGAACTGTGGACCAGCTCTTTAAACCCTTGCTAGGGGGTGCTGGAGGGAGCATGGGAGTTTGCCAATGCCGGGTCCACATGTGTTTTGTGGATTGGAGAAGGCTTTACGAACAGTGTTCCCAGGGGCCTCCCTGTGGGGGTGCACTCCGGGAGTTAATGGTGGATGGGGCCGCTTGTTAGTGGCCATTAAGTTCCCTGTACCAAAGAGTGTGAGTCTGGGTTCGCGTAGCCCGGCAGTAAGTCGGACTGTTCCCAGTGAGGGTTGGACTCCGCCAGGGCCTGCCCTTTTGTCACCCGGTTTTCTTAGGCGCTGTTGGTAGACGGTTTTGGGTTCGGTGGCGGGAGGATCTCTGGTCTCTGCTTTTTTGCGGATGATGTGGTCCTCCTAGCTTCATCGAGCGCCGACCTTCAGCCCTCGCTTGGGCGGTTCACGGCCGAGTGTGAAGCGGCTGGGATGAAGATCAGCACCTCCAAGTCTGAGGCCATGGTTCTCAGCCAGAAACGGGTGGATTGCCCGCTCCGGGGAGGGGGGGAGGCTCTGCCTCAGGTGGAGGAGTTAAGTATCTCGGGATCTTGTTCACGAGTGAGGGTAGGATGGAGCGGGAGATCGACAGGCGGATTGGGGCGGCGTCAGCAGTGATGCGGGCGCTGAATCGGTCCGTTGTGGGGAAGAGGGAGTTAAGCCGGAAGGCGAAACTCTCTTTTTTCCAGTCGATCTACGTTCCAATCCTCACCTATGGTCATGAGCTTTGGGTAATGACCGAAAGAAAGAGATCGCGAATACAAGCGGCTGAAATGAGTTTCCTCCGCAGGGTGGCCAGACTCAGCCTTAGAGATAGGGTGAGGAGCTCGGTCATCCGGGAGGGACTCGGAGTAGAGCCGCTGCTCCTCCATGTCGAGAGGAACCAGTTGAGGTGGTTTGGGCATCTGGTAAGGATGCCTCCAGAAAGCCTCCCCGGGGAAGTGTTTCGGGAATGTCCCACTGGGAGGAGGCCTCGGGGCCGACCAAGGACACGCTGGAGGGATTATATCTCTTGGCTGGCCTTGGAACGCCTCGGGATTCTCCCGGAGGAGCTGGTGGAAGTGGCTGGGGAGAGGGCTGTCTGGACCTGTTTGCTGAGGCTGCTGCCCCGCCACTCGGATCCGGATAAGCGGGAGACGACGAACGAACGAATGAACGAACGAATATCATAATACAAGAATATATGAGACATATTTATTGTTATTTCCAGATACAAACGAAGTTGAGTTTTGTATTTTCATCCATATGATTGTATAATTTACTTTAAGTTCTCATTTCTTTAAAGTCATCTTTATGTATATACTGTATATACAGTGTCATGGTTTGCTATGGCAGACACTTTTTGTTAGCTTTGTTTGGACTTTTCTCACTTCCTGTTTTATTTTGTAATTGGTTTCCTTGTGTGTCTCAGTGTTTTTGCTTCCTGTCTTGGTCCTGTTTCTGTGTGGTGATTGTCTGCCCCGCCCTAATGTGTTTCACCTGTGTGCAATCACCCTTGCCTCCCTTGTCTATATAGTCTTTGTGCTTCCCTTTGTCTGGGTCGGTTCGTCTGTTGTCTCTCTTTTGATTTCTGGGTTTGTTCTCGTCGGTTCACGTGCCTGTTCATGTCTGGTTGGTCGCAGAGCTGTTCATGTGTGGTTGTCCTTAGTCTGTTCACGTCTGCTTTGTCCTCGGTCTGTTCATGTTGCCAGTTCCTGTCTCCTGTTTTGAGTTCATGTGTTTACCTGTTTTCCCCCTGTGTTTCCCTGTGCTTCACCAGTGTTTTGTGAAAGCTTCTTGTTAAAATAAACCTTTCTGCACCGTCTCCCATGTGTTGGCTGCATTTGGGTCCAGCCTTACCCTGACAAACCCTGACAGCTGTGACATACAGTATATGTCAGATATATATGTCAGACAAACATGAAGCGTAGCTGCTATCTGTGCACTATAGATGAGCATAAGCACCACTGTATCATTTCAGTATAGGAATACCTACTTTTCCCATTGACTGTGTGGTTGACTTGGAAATCTGTAAGGGACAACAGAAAAAAATATACACTCCAACTCAAAGCAAACAATGAAGATGGTGCTGACAGAGAACATTGCAGAAAAGAAAGGAGACACAGATACAGTGGAGACAGATGTGTGACAGATGTGTGACAGCTGTACCGGTGCATTTGACTGAGGAGCTATAGGACAGGCCATTCTGCTGACTGTTGTCCAGAGTCTCCATGCTGCTCCTGATCGACTTTGGTTTGAACTCTCTCTTGGGTCGGCTGTTGGCTGTCAATATCCTGGGACAGAAAGAGCAGATTTAGCATCATGTTATGAACAAGGTATTTCTTTCATGCGGGTGTTCAAGAAGATTAAAAAAACCCCAGAATGACCTCCTCGTGGTTGTCTGCCCCCCTCCACTCAGACTAGTTTCAGATTACATGCCTGTTTATCTCGAGTCATATAAAATAATTGCTGTGTGAAGTCTTGAGTTATGGCTAAAAAGTGTTTTGTGAGGTCACACTGACCTTTGACCTTTGACCACCAAAGTCTAATCAGTTAATCCCTGAGTCCAAGTGAAAGTTTGTGCCAAATTTGAAGAAGTTCTGTTAAAGTGTTATTTGGATATTGTGTCCATGAGAATGGGACGGATGTACAACCTGAAAACAACATGGCTCCGGCTCTGACTGGTGCTGAGGTGGAGCCTGCTGATCATCTGGACACCACTCGAGTGACACTATGGGCCTGGGGGCCCAAATTAGATATTGGCCCCTGTTGAACTCCTGTTTCTATATTTGTTCGTAATTAGTTATAAAAATATGGTTGAAACATTTTCTGTAATATTCATATTACCTTTAACACTGTATTCAGACCCCTTCACTTTGTGCAGACTTTATGATATTGTAGATTTTATTGTAAATTGATAAAATTACTATTTTCGTCCATCAATCCACATTAATGACAATCTTAGACTGATTTAAATCCCAACTTCTGTTAGTTTTATACTGAAATTTGAAGTTGATGTAGTTTGTTTGTGTTGCAGCATTGCAGATTTCTACAGCTGGTTCTACACAGTTCTCTTCACAGTTCTCTGTACCGACATGCAGCTCGGCACAACAGTAAACTGCTTCAGTGGCTTTTTTCCAGTAATGCACTACAAAAATATATTCCCTACATATCCACTTATATGACAGCTTCAGATATAGATATACAGCAGTCAGCCCTGTCTGCTCATCCACATCACACCTCCTCCTTATGTCCTTATGTCCTCTCTTGCCTCCTTTCCTCATCTGGCACAAGTCTTTCATCTTTCATTGGAGGCCATTGTTGTATGTCCCAGTTAACACTTTATATAATATTTTTTAGTGAAGCAGGTCCTCACCTCTTCTGCAGCCTCCCACTCAGCTCCTCCAGGATCTCACTAGACTGCCGGTGGTACTCTAAGGCCGCCTCGATCAGTGCTGACAGCTGGCTCACCTGCTCCACCTGTTGGCCATGCCCCCAACACACACACTGCACATTGTAATATTATAATATGATTTGGGGAGTACGACAGAGTATTATGGGCACAAGGAAAAATTGCGTGTTTGTCAAAATTTTGAATGTTTGCTTCTGGCAGCTGCTGTTTGTCTGTCTAACAATAGAGTAGACTCAGTTTCTTGATGCTGACAATGATTCTGATGAGACAAAAGATGAAGTATATACTTATTTGTGAAACCTCTGCTAAAGTAGAACTTCACAGGATGCTGATATTTCACCTGTAAAACAACACGTGACCTAAAATTATAACTTTATTCTCATAATATTATGACTATTTATTTATAAAATTACCACATCATAATATTATGACTTTCTTTTCTTGTAATTTTAATTCTTTTTCTTCAATGTGGCCCTAATACTCCATTGTAGGGGAGATTTACAAAGATTAAAAAAACAAACTGGATTATTAAGTAATTTTGATTTAACAGATACTGAATGTCAGTACATTGTAAAATCCTGTCACTTTACAATGTATCAAACATGTAGCTGTAGCTTCCTCACATATTATATTTGTTGAGTGGACAGAAGTGTAAAACCTTTCTCCATCGCCAAACTGTGTCCCCGCTGCCCCAGACAAACCTGATGAGTGTGTAATGTTGGGTATGAGGTCTGATAATCAGGGCCTGGATTTATGAACCATCTCAAAATCATTTACCATGAAATACAAAATGTAACTTATGAAGCTTCCTACACTGAATTTTCTGACAGTTGTAGTCTAAAGAATGAAAAAAATAATAATATATATATAAATGTATATTACGGTTAATATACAAAATAAAAGTTTATTATGTGTATGTTTTGTTTACATATTGTTTAAATATTATGGGTGACATCAAAATTAATAAACAGCTCAAATCTCTATATGACATATAATGAGAAGGAAATAAAGACTGGTGAGACAGTTGCATGGCTTAAACAGTAAATGCATGAATATATTAAACCTTCATGTTGAGCAGTTTTATTTATTTGCCTGCTGCTGTACAGGATGTTGAATTCTCTAGTAATAAGCTGACATTTGTTTGAGCCTCTTACATCGTTCTCCAGGAAGTTGAACATGCTTCTCTCAGCTAGCTCTTTGCTCTCCTCAAACTTTTCCACAGCCTGACGGATCTCCTCGTCCGGGATTTTCCCCTGACGCTTCTTCTTGTAGTCAAAGTCCAACCGGCGGCCCTCCAGCTTCTTTAGGTGGTGCTGCAAACATACAAACGCGCAAAAAAAAACACACACAAACACAAACACACACACAAACACAAACATGTCAATGAGGTTTTTTTCCCTTCTTTTTTTAACGTGTCCAAACTACTCTTTTTCCCACATGTACTTGACCTCTGTATGTTATAAAACACAGAGGTCACATATTGATTATAAAACATTGTGTACATTGTCATCACACAGAGACTCAGTCCTGGTCCAGTTGTTCTTTTAGTGTGAAATCAAAGCAGTTTGAGATAGTAGTTAGGTTTTAGCATTACATTCATCTGCTGACTGTGAACTGCTGAGAAAACATTCTCCTCAGTTATCTGTACAGGTGATACAATTATGCAGTGATGATTTGGTAACCATAATCTGATCCACTACATCAGCGATGGCACCAGCATGAAGCAGATCAGTTTGTTATTGTGTTGTCAGTTGGTTAAACTGAGCTGTCGACTGAATCTTTAATGCCAAAGTTCCGGGTATCAGACCAATACTGTGTCCGCTTGAGGCATCAGAATCAGTACTGGGGAGACACATTGGATCAGCACATCTCTGGTACCGATCCAGGTAACCAAGGTAACCCAGGTAAAAAGTATGAAAAGTAGTTTATAGACAATATTATCCAGCTGTGTATGAAGAGACTTCAAATAAATATTGGTACATTTGGTTGATGGTTCTAACAGAGTATGTTTATACTCTGTGGCAGCAGCCTAAACACACTGAGAGCATTCTGTAAATTAAAGGAAAGTAACTTGTTCACAAATGTTTTCTAAATGTGCCGCAGAGATATTGGCACATCCTGAAGTGTTGTCACATTTCCCCTGTGTTGCAAACACTGTCAGCATTAACAATCATCTCCTACAGTTTGTCTGACCTGCCAATCATGAATTCAAACATGGCATCCTTAAAATCATCTTGGTTACAGGGCACATGCTGCGGTAAAGTACCATGATCTCTTTGAGGTCCTTGTCCTGTAGAGTCTGCAGGGGGTCAATAAAGTTTTGTTTGACATTTATGTCCAAGGAGTCCTTCACATCTGCCATCTGCCTCATGGCCTCACCCATATCCACCAGAGCACGGCCTGCAGGACAGAGACAAAGCATTTATGTAATACTGTGAGGAATCCTCTGAGGTCCTGCACCGTGCTTCAGTTATGGTTTAACATGTGTGCTGTTCGTCTGTGACACAGGGGATTTCAGCCTTCCACAGTTTTCAGAAATATATAGAAATATCTCAATTGTTCCTTTAATCATTAATCACTTTTCACTTGTTAAGACATTTCAAAACTTTCAAATGTGCCTTTATCAATACTGGATTTCATATTATTTACAAACAACAGAAGATCATGATAGCACACTCTGCCAGTGATTTTTCTATCTGAAAAATGATAGGTGTGATTATAGGCACACCTGTTACAGCTGTCATCAAGTCACAGAGTGAAACTAAATAAAAGCACTGGTCATTGAGCCATAAAAGACAACAGGAAATGGAGGTAAAGAAGAGTTGAGTCTTTGTGCCGATTGAATTAGTGATATAGAGATGCAGATTAAAATTGGACTTTAAACAAGCGTTATGTAACCTAGGTGAATATGATAATAAACTAACAGAAGCCTAGATCAATACTAAATGTAAGCAATAAAATAACAATTGTGTTTAAGGTAACAAGAAGTCTTAAAAATAGTTAGACTGTTCCATTTATCATTATTTTTGTGTGTACTGCTCCTTTAGCAAGTGCCACGGTAACAGCCAATCAGGTAACTCCTTGTTGGAGGGAGGGAAGATAATTAGAGCAAGAGCAGAACATTAGAGACGGAAAAGTCAAAAACGAGAGGGAAAGAGAAAGTAAATAGGAGTAAAAGTAGTAAAAGTAGTAAAAGAAGTGTATTTTGAGGTTTTACATCTTTCTTTGATTTTTGGGAAGATATTGTATTCACCTGCTGTCCGCGTTGCTGGATTCTGTTTTATTTGAGTTTTCAACGAGGATTTGGTGAGTCAAAAAGCTATTTTTTTCAGCGTGTGTATTAGCGGGTTATTCCTTTGTTGTATAGGCTCAATGTGAAGACGATATTACTAGCACCTAAGATAAGGCAGTTTGAACGAGTGTTATACTGTGTATTTTGTGTTTTTCATTTGTGCAATGTGTAGCTAAAAGGGAGCATACACGGTCAAGTTGCCTCGCAGCGGAGTGAAAGCGAGAGCCGAGCCGCCATTTTAGGTCGCGGTTTGGATTTAAATTGATAGTTAACCTGTATTTCAGTGCTAGGACTTTATTTTCATTTATTTTCCTGATATATGTGAAGCTAAAATGCCTGCTTGTGCGTTGCCTTGTTGTATGGCAGGCCAGGTTTTTTAGTTGGGATCGCTGGGGTGTGAAAACACCTGGAGCTGTGGAAAGAAGATGGCGAGCCACCCATAGGAGAGACACTCGGAGGATCACCTATTCTGCGAAAGTCACCTGCACACTGTGGACAAAGACACTGTTTCTAATACTCGTGGATTGTGGGAGGACAAAACTAACAGGTTTTGCAGAGACACAGTGAATTTCATTTGGACTGAGAAAGGACTTAACTGAAAGACTGGTGATACACAAAACTGTGGAAATTTAAGTAATTTCTTATATGCATTGATCTGTGAGATCTGAAATTTGAGTTGTATTTCATATTTTATCGAACTGTGTTTTCTTTTATTTATTCACTTTTTCCTTATTGTGTGCCAAATTGGTATTACATGAATGGGTTGTGTAAAGTGAGTAAAGTTTGAGTAGAGCTGGTTAAGCAAACTAAAGAGGAAGTAGAAAAATATAACTAAACTCATAAATAGGCCTAACTGAGGTAAAATGAGAACTTAAACTGAGTAAACTCAAAGGAGATACCAGGGACTAAACAACCGATATAAGAAATGTAGGTACAAAATTATACCTCAACTCAAATAGGTTGTATTAAATCCAAAAGAGATAAATAGGGGTCAATAACCTTATTTTCCTGAGATCTTGGGTTCATTTTGGTTGAAAGGAAACTGAGCGTTTGGTACCATCATATGATTATTGATTTTTTTCTGATCAGTTACTATATAAACAAGCCGGCAGTTAATACTTATTCACTGGTCTGTGGTCTGTTATTCCCAAGCACTAGTATCAATCACTCACCTGAACCTAGACTCTGGTTCTAGTAGTCATACTTACAGTGCTACAGGTACACATGGAGAAAGTTCAGAGTTTCCATTTATAGCAAATTAAAATAACTGTATGTTGTCATGGTTTGCTATGGCAGACACTTTTTGTTAGTTTTATTTGGACTTTTCTCAATTCCTGTTTTATTTTGTATTGGTTTCCTTGTGTGTCTCTGTTTTTGCTTCCTGTCTTGGTCCTGTTTCTCTGTGTGGTGATTGTCTGCCCCGCTCTAATGTGTTTCACCTGTGTTCAATCACCCTTGCCTCCCTTGTTTCTATATAGTCTTTGTGCTCCCCTTTGTCTGTGTCGGTTCATCTGTTGATTTCTGGGTTTGTCCTCATCGGTTCATGTTGCCTGTTCATGTCTGGTTGGTCGCAGAGCTGTTCATGTCTGGTTGTCCTCAGTCTGTTCATGTCTGCTTTGTCCTCGGTCTGTTCATGTTGCCTGTTCCTGTTTCTTGTTTAAGTTGCTGTGTTTCCCTGTGCTTCACCAGTGTTGTGTAAGCTCTTTCAGTTAAATAAACCTTTTGCACCGTCTCCCAAGTGTTGGCTGCATTTTGGGTCCCGCCTTAACCCGCAAACCCTGACAGTATGAACCGACCAAAAGAAATGGACCCAGCAGCCTACGCCAGCCTCATCTCTTTCTTGAGGGTGCCTCAATCCTCCAAGCCAGCACCCCCGTCGGTCTTCAGGCCCCTTTGCATGCTGGCTGATCCCCTTTCTGACTCGGACCTGGACGACCCTGACGAGTCCCCTTTCAAGGGAACTCGTCTGGCTATTTTCACAGGGTTTTGTGGAGGACACAGAAGCGAGGTCATCATGGCTCCCGTAGCCACAGGGAGGCTCGGCCTCGGCCCCAGCCCCAGGTTCCTCACTTCTGGCCCAAGCCACAGCTACCCCACTGTCCAGAGCCTCTGCTCCCATGTGGTCAGGAGCCCTTGCCAACTACCCTGGCTGACGCATCAGCTGTCTCAGCGTTTGGGGGTCCCGGTCGATTCCTCCCTGGTTCCTGAGTTGGGGTTGCTGGACGTTGTCTCCCCTGCTCCTCCTGTCCTGTCGGCGGCCCAGCTGACTCTTGATTCTGGTTCCCAGTCAGTGGTCCGGCCGACACCTGATCCTGATTCCATGTCGGCAGTCCGGCTGAATCCTGTCCCTCCTGTCCTCTCGCCGGCCCAGCTGACTCCTGATTCTGTTTCCCAGTCAGTGGTCCAGCCAACCTCTGATCCTGATTCCAAACTGGCGGTCTGGCTGATACCTGCCCGTTATCCAGTCGGCTCCTGGTTACCCTCTGAAGGAGCTCCGCCTGCCACACCAGTGTCCTGCTTGCCCTCCAGAGGGGCGACGCCATCCTCTCACTTGACCTCCAGAGAGACCCCGTCTTTGCAGCCGTTGTCCTGCTTGCCCTCCAGAGGGGCTCCGCCTGACCTTTAAGGGGGGGTACTGTCATGGTTTGCCATGGCAGACACTTTTTGTTAGTTTTGTTTGGACTTTTCTCAATTCCTGTTTTATTTTGTATTGGTTTCCTTTTGTGTCTCTGTTTTTGCTTCCTGTCTTGGTCCTGTTTCTGTGTGGTGATTGTCTGCCCCGCCCTAATGTGTTTCACCTGTGTTCAATCACCCTTGCCTCCCTTGTTTCTATATAGTCTTTGTGCTCCCCTTTGTCTGTGTCGGTTCATCTGTTGATTTCTGGGTTTGTCCTCATCGGTTCACGGTGCCTGTTCATGTCTGGTTGTCCTCAGTCTGTTCATGTCTGCTTTGTCCCTGGTCTGTTCATGTTGCCTGTTCCTGTTTCTTGTTTAAGTTCCTGTGTTCCCCTGTTCTTCCCCTGTGCTTCACCAGTGTTGTGTAAGCTCTTTTGGTTAAATAAACCTTTTGCATCGTCTCCCAAGTGTTGGCTGCATTTTGGGTCCCGCCTTAACCCGCAAACCCTGACATATGTAAGTGTATAAATGTATGAAAAGAGGTCTGTTTCTGGTGTAAGCCTGTTCCAAAGAGACAGTGAGACACTTGTACAGATGAAGAGTAGAAACCTACGTGACACACACACTCATGACACTGTGGCAGCATGTTTTCTACCCGCCTGCTGCTGTAATGTAATCAGGAAAGCTGTGTATAAAAGCCTCTCTGCAGATATCTGAGAGTTTATGGAATATGAGAATTGGTACCAAAGACAGAGTCCTCTCCAAGTTCATGACCATAGCGAAGCATGCAGTCTCCCAGCAGGCCTTCTGTCTGCGGGTAGCCAGTGGTCTTCACCTGCCCTCGGATCTTTGACACTGTGTTCAGCATGTTGAGTTTGGCTCGCGATGCTACAGAGGAAAACCATGAATATAACACAATACTGTTGATTTACATTGATTGGATTTATTTTGCAAAACAGTGTAGTAACAGATAAAAGATGAAATAACATATACTTTTTTTTTTTACCTGGATTAGGCTGGAGGTATTCTGTTGTTTTGGACAAGAGGTCAAACACTGACTTGTTGGTTACCTCGATTTTCTGTTGGGAGCGAGAAAAGAATGTAAAAACAAAGATGTTGCAGTTATGTTTGTCTGAAAGATATTTGAAACATTAAATTCAACATGAACAATTCAGTCAAATATTACAATAGGATCACAATGTGAATAAAGATAGCTGTGATAAGAAACATCCAAAGTGTGACTACACAATTAACAATTACAATTACACAATTTAAAAAAAAATTAAGCTGAAGATCAATTTCATCCAAAATAATTTTAGTTTAATCAATTACATTTACATTCTAAAATATTTAATATTAATAATACATGTTGATAATTATTAAACATTTTATTGCCACAATAATTCAATAGAATTTATTATTGCCATGTCTATTATTGTGTGTATTGTCACATTGCAGCCTCCATACTTTCAAGCATGAAACATGAAGAACAATAATAACACGAACTGAAATGAAAAATACAGCTGAACATCAATTTCTTTCTGGAAAAAATACACTTGTTGATTTTCATTACTGGACAGTCAAATACTTCAATGCCAGAGTTAAACTGATTCTTGATTAGAGCTAAACACTTAGTGCCACAGTTTTGTCCATCTTATCTCTATGGTGGCCCTGACAGCTCAACACACTGCAGCTTAAGAAAACACATGCAAACAGACAAAACACAATAAAATTAAGAAATATCTTTATCAATCTGACAAGACATGAGCTGCAAATACTCACAACACTACCAGATACATAAGCGCCCTCCAAGTAGGATAAATGACAACGAAAAGAAAATGACAATGAAAGTGTTTCCAGGGCCACAGAAAAGTGATGAACCTGACTGGGACACACTTGTTGCTCAATGCCCTCTCTACTTCCTCCGAAGTTAGTGTTGTAGTGATGATTTAACACATGATTTCCTCACTACCAAGTGTAAAACTAGAAATCATCATAAGACCACATTTACCACTGAGGAGACACCTGTCCTGAACTCACCCTCTCCATCTCCATGAAGTCTTCATCCAGCTTTGTCCCCTCGGCCCCACTGATCTTCTCACTGAGTAGCTGGACAGAGGGCAGAACAGTTGCAGTTGAGATCCTGGATTGTGATTGTGTGTTAAACAGATTGTGAAATGACTAACTGGGCTCTGAGCGCTACAGAAGCCTGGTGATGCCTCACACACAGAGCACCGGAGCTGCTGTTGCTAAGCTAAGGTGCTGCTCAAGCTGCGCCTTTTGCTGTTTACTGTCAATCTGCTTCATCAGTTATTTTCTGCACAATGAAGAAAACTTTTGAACAACCCATACAGGAGTAACCCCGTAGTTCACTGAGTTCACTTTTTACCAGAATCAACAATCAAAACTCAATGCATTCTTGAATTATATCAAAAGGACTAATAATAACAATACTAATAAAGAGGATAATAAGATTTCCAGAAGGCAGTTACAGTGTATGTTATGTTGTCCTGCAACATGGCAGTCCACTTCACTGTCGTCATAAACAAACCACAGGGTTTTCCTTTGAGATCAGTTCAGTAAACAAGCTGCAGCTTAAATATAGAGCAGAGAGTGATGATGGGTGCTCCACCAAAGATACAGCCCAGCTAAAAGCAGATTAATTAGCAGCTCTGACATTTCACAGGAAGCTACAATGTGGGAGAACCTGGAGATCAACCCAGAATAGAAGAGAGACTTGAGTCACCATGGCTGCTGCTGTGTGGATAGTCAGCCGGGCCATCAGCATCATATCTGGAATAGTGGGATTAATACAGCTAAAGTCTTCAGATTGGCAGACAGCATGGAATACACTCCCCCCCCCCCCCCCCCCCCTTCTCTGGGTCACATGTCACAGCAGCACACACATAAACACACATCGACTCAGATATCATAGAAAAATTACCTTAAAACTTTAGATCTTAGATCTCACCCCTCAGTATCTAAAGTGTCCCGGTGATTGTTTGTCTACATGGTATAGATTCGCCAGAATGTACAGAAATACATGCAACTAGAATTACCACCTCTGCTGTATGCCTATGCCATCATCATGCCATCATCATCAGCATCATCATCATTCAGATGAACTGTTATTCCAAAATCAGGACAGTGTATGGGGAAGTGGTCTCAGACTTGAGACACCACTGTACATAAGACACAGCAATAAGAAAAGGATAAAAACATTTTGATTTTAACTCACAGTAGGAAAAGCACAGGTGTTACTAATAACATTAATAGAGGTTTTGTTCTATGTTCATGTGACACTGAAGCCAGAGTGAACAATAGAAGGACCCTGACACCAAAGCAGTTAAATGGAATTCAGCCATTATTCTTTTTTCTTTCTACTGTCGTGTCAAAATGTGTTTGTGAACAAAGCTCATTGAAAACCTTAAAACAGGTTTATGAATAACATGCATGTCCCACTTTATATCAAGTGTCACCTTTTCTCATTTTCATGGTGAGTTTCTGATCAAGTTAATGCTTTACACTCATTAATCTTACTAATAAGTTACTACCATTTATAACTGCTAAAAGCAGCCTTGTAGTAACTCATTAATAAATGATTATGTGTTTTACACTTTACAAGAAGACTCCCTTTTATCAGTTATAAATGTTTGTAAAGTCTTAAAGAAGATACCAACCAGAAAAATAATATTTAAAAAATAATTAATATCCACTGTGCAGAACAATCTGATAGCATGACTTGTAATATAGATACATTTTAATTTATACAAATATGTGATTAAGCAGCAGGTACAAACGCTGGATGACAGAGAAAACAAACTAATGAGATATGAGGCTTAACAGTACAGACACATGTCAAGCAACATGTCACTGTTGCCATTTTTATCTAATGTGTTATAACAGCTTATAAGTGATTTATAAAGTGTTAACAAGCTAATTAATAAACTAGTTATAAACCATTCATAAATCCTTTATAAGGGTAGTCTTATTGTAAAGAGGTACCAAAATCTGTGCCACTAGCACATGAAGTCAGAGGCAAGTAATATCATATTATACAGTATCTGACAGTCATTCCTGCCATTCCATTCTACTTAAAGAGACAGGAGCTATTTAAAATGTCACCACTAGGCTGACAAATAAGGAGATACAATGAGGGATGGGAATCCAAGTGGTCTGAGCCATCAGAATCATATGCCTCTCATCAATGCTGGCATGTTTTTCCTTACAGTTTTACAAACGGCTGGACAGTAACTAAGTACATTTACTTCAGTACATTACGTAAGTATATTTTTCCAGTATCTGTTCTTTACTTGGGAAACTTTTGACTTTTTTGGGAAACTTCTGACTTTTACTCCACTACACTTAAAAGACAAATATTGCACTTTTGACTCTACTACATTTCTATTAAGTACTCTTACTTTGAAGCAGAGCTTTTAGTCAGTGAATGGTTTTTATTTTATTTTGAAAATGTGATAGATCATACACTGTGTTCATCACAGGAGAAAAACCAATCACAGCCAACTACTCCACTGTCAGTTCTGTTTGAACCTGTGTTATGGGCTCCGGGTACAGCTCTTGTTGTTGTTGTGTTATGTTGTGTGGTGCAATCTTTCCTTTTTGAATTAAGGCCGGGTCGACCTGTCATCCGCTGCTCCGGAAGTGGATTTCCTCCTTGTCAATGCCTCAGCACTGCTTCTCTGTCTGTGCCCGGGTGTTCCTTGTTTTTGGCTGGTCCTACCCTTTTGCTAAGCTGGTCCCAGCCGCCTATCACAAGCCTGCCTGGTCCCGTCCTCAAATGTATAAAAACTGCCATGTGAAAATGTCAGGGCGGCTGTGATTTGACCTGAGCAGTCCGCCTCTGTGCCTCTTTGTTGAAAGTGTTGACGTGTGTGATAATTATCTACCCAGGAGTTAACTTTGATATTTGTGATTATTAAGTGATGTTGGCTCGTTGTGGCACTAGTTGGTTAGTTGCGGCATCATGGGCTCTAGGGTTTAGTTTAGTTTAGGTTAATGTGTTATTTTCTTGTCTATTTTATTTTCTGTCTAGCAACACTAGGTTTATGGGTGGCTGCTAGGGTGTATTTTGTTTTGACAGGTAAGATTGGAGCTAGGGTTTTTATTTCCGTTTGTTTTCTTCTGTAGTAGTGGGGATTGTGTCGGGTTAGGAAGCGGCTTTGTTGTGTTTGTTTTATGATTTGGCGCCACCCGCTGCCCTTTCCCCTTTGTTCTTTGCCTCATGTGATTCCTTTGTGTTGTATTTGTAAACTGTTCTGGTTGCTAAACAATAAAAAGCAGAACTCACCCAATGTCTTCGGCTTACTGTTGGTTTCCTTATCCCACAACATCTAGAGATATCCTAACGATGGCAACGTTACATAAAAATGAGGGAGAAGATTCTTTACCAGAGACCATGGTCTGATCTGAAGTCTTAAAAAGTTTAGAAATAAAGATTAATTTAGTTGGAAATGTTTGCTGTTTTTACCACGACCATATCCTACAGTCTTTTGACTCTACAGGTCCTACAGTCAGTCAGTAGGTTGTTTCAGAGTCATCAGGTTCTCTAAATGTGGAACAATACAACAATGTGTTGATATAAAAAAGCTACTTTTGAATACTTCATTATTTTTAAAATCAAGTACTCTAGTACTTTAAGTACAGTAAAAATCTGACTGAAGAACTTTCACTTATATTGGAGTCATATTTGACCAGGAGGATCAATACTCTGACTCCAGTAATGAAGTTGTGTACTTTGTCCACCTCTGACTACAAAACAGTAACATCAAACTCATGTACGCTGCTGGAATTCTGCAACAACAAGGAGCCATGGCAGAGAGGAAGAAGACAGATGACAACACTAGACGGCCTGCCCAAACTATGGGACCTTTAAGGGACTCGATAAGAAATGGACTGATGAGCAGAATCAATGAGAGCATTGGTATCAAAACAATCTTATCAATTTCCATCCCACAATATGTCAAAGTACAGTGTCAGTCAGGGCTTAAAGGTGTAGAGTATGAAGGTCTTAATCTCACTCTAACAACAAACAAACAGCACTGACTTGGTTATTGTTTATGACTGTGAGGTCATCAGACAACATCCTGTCAAACTGTAACTGCAGCAGATTAATGAGTCAGCTGATCAAACAGTCACAGCTGCACACTGAAGTGTCATTTACAACTCATTACTCATTATTTCATCAGGAAGTTCTCAGTGAAGGACTGTAAATGGCACATAATGGTGTCAGTCATGATGTCCTACCAGGTAGAATACAGTTGCGATCACACTTGTTATTGTTTTTTGTTTCTACAGATCATCAGTGGTTGTGTTCACAGTCGATGTGCTGGTTTATGCACAGGTTTATACTGTATACAGTATATAGTAGTATACAGGTAAAGTATATGGAAGTTATTTAGCGCTGCAAATAACCCAGCTGTTGGATTGGATTCAGTCAAGGAGCAAGGAAGCAAAACAATGGTGGTGAGGAAGAAGATCTGCCTCATTGCCTTTACCCTAATGTTCATCAACATGAAAAAAAAAATCAATAAACATTACAAAAATTTAACTGAACTGAAAATGTTGACAAATGTGCTTGTTTTTCCAGCCATATCCAATTTCCAAGGAACAGCTGAGGATTAACAATAAAAGTCAGAGGTTTAAGCTCTCGGATGGTTTTTATTTCATTTTTCTATCTGCTTCAGATGCTGAGGAACAAAGGTTTCAGAAAGGTTTTAGGAGGCCGTCTTAGCTTAATAATGGGTTGTGGAATGGAAAAATTGGATCCCTCTCCTGAATGAATTTCAGTTTATCCTGCTTGAAATGAGACAGACAGGAGGATGCGCTGCAGTGAATGTTAGAGAACACAAAAACACAATATAGCCCAGAGCCCAATTACATGGGTGGCAGGGTGCTGACACTCTGCTCGGCCCAGCTGTCTTTCAAAGTTCACTGGGTACCGACAATGTGGAAGTCGTCCATCCTGGCCCCCCTTCCCAAAGGCCCCTTATCAATCCTATCCTCATGATTACAGGCCCATCTCACTGGTAGTTGAATCCCTCCAGAGGACAATCAAAACCCACATTATCAACTCCTAGAAGCAGGTCTTC